GTACAATGCCAACTGAATGCAGTATGCTTGGATACTTTTTCCAAAGTTGACAGCACAGCTGAAGTTTCCAAAAATTTAAATTATATATATATATATATATGTATATATATATATATATATATATATATATTAAAAGACCAATAATGGCAGTATGTTATGCATCAATAGCAGCAACAGCTTTTCCAGGTTCTGCAGTCATTTGAACAAAAGGTACAATGGCTCTTGAATGCTGGTTGCTTTTGTTTCTGAGGAATAAGCCTGGGACTAAATGACCGACACCTAAGAAATAAACTGGTCAAGAGTCAATAGTGAAAGTAGTTGAGCTCTATTTTGAGATGAGTCTTGTGTTTATAATATATTTCTCTTTCTATTTGAGGAAAATAGAAATTTTAATATTTCACAGCATCTGGTTTTAAGTTAATTCACAGAACTTTCCCTCTAGAAATCAAGAAAATGCTGGCATCGACTCTAAGTAAGTTTTTTTTTTTTTTTTTTTTTTTCTTGGCATTTATAATAGAACAGATCAGACTGGCTCTATAGAAGTTAAAGAATTCCTGAGTTTGGGAATACTAAATACAATGGCTATTCCCTTTCAGGTGATGATTTTCATACTTGTATTGTGTTCTTTCTACAGAACAAAGACTAACTAATGACATAATCCTGAGCTGACTGACTGAAAAATGTGACTGGACGAACTCCCTGTGGACAGTTGACAGCTTTTTTTTCTTTTTAACATATCTGATAGTCTACACACCATTGCTTGTCTGGGATTGCTGACCTTAATGATAAAACTAAGATAGTAGTTGTTTCCTAGAAGAAAATGTTATGAAAAGCAAAAATAAAGCTTCCTTAGAGAAATGTATTGTCTTGTATAGCAGAAATAAAGTTTGCTTTAATAACTAAATCATGACTTATTTATGTGAAAGACAAGAATGAAAAATAGTAATAGGTGGTATTTAGAATTTAAGTGGCATGTTTCATTGATTTTGAGATGTGTATTTTCACATTTTAATATCTGTGAAAGTAAAAACATGTCCATTGTATAAAAGAGTGTGATTGGCGGTCTCTTCCCAGTGAGACATGAAATAAAGGTGTGTCTTTCAGCCATTTGCATCTTAGAGATAGTGAAACAAGCTACACACTCAATCCACAGAGTCACTGTTGACTCTGCAATGATACAAGCACAAGACATTTCACTAGGAAGAGTGTGGTGCTGTGTATTTATTGCTAGACCAAAAATTTTTGGTAGTTTTGTGAGCATATTTTAGGATTATAAAGTGCCAATGACTTTAAAATCTAGAGGGGTTGTTTTGTTTTGTTAAGATGGGGTTGTCATTTGTCATGTAATAATAGGCTGACCTGGAACCCCTGAATCTCCTGCCTCTACTTTCCAAGTGCTAGGATTATAGGTCTAGGCTATCACGCTTGACTTCAGTGTAAATAGTATCAGTGGTGTTGAGAGAATGGACATTTTTTCATTTATAAATATAGAAACATAATGACCACTCCAAAAAATGTGATATGCAAACAATTATCACAACAGACTGATAGAAGATGGACTCATTTTGAAATGAAAATAAAAATTAAGAAGCTAGCAGGTATGGTATATCATATCTGTAATCACAGCATTTAAGAGGTTGAGGCAGGAAGGTTGCTATGCATTTGAAGCTAGCCTAGGGTTGAGATCCTTTCAAACAAAACAAGAAAATAATTACTAAAAAATACTTTGTATTTTGAAAATTCAAGAACAAAAATTTATCAGCTCTGAGAAAGACTAAATCAAGTACTTGGCAACTTAAAAGAAGGTATAATGATTTATAGCTGTTAAAACATTGCTTAATTACCTCCTCATTATGCCTGTCACATCCCAAGTTAAACTACAAATAAGGAAAACTCAAATACAGGGAGCACAAAAGAATATTTAAAACCTGGACATTTCTCTGTTGAAAACTTAAAATCCTTTCTTCGGATCAGTAGTTTTTATAAATGTAGATAGACTTTCAACTGATCTTTCCAGGCAGAAACTGAGCCAGTATTTTTCTATGCCAGGAGCCATGTTTTCGTAAGAGACAGTGCTTTCTGGAGGAAATGAAGAGCTGAAGTAAAGAAAACAGAGGATTCATTACCAACAGATTCATTCCTCCCTAACTTACTTCCTATACACAGTTCAATTTTCATGGATTGAAATTAAATTATTTACGATCTGTCTGGCATTTCAGTTATGTTTGAGTTCCCTCAAAAATATTCCTGTCCAGGTGTTTATACCATGTAAAAATAGCACATTTTTTAAAGATTTTATTCATTTATTATGTATACAGTGTTCCTCCTGTGTGCTAGAAGAAGGCACCAGGTTTCATTACAGATGGTTGGGAGCCACCATGTGGTTGCTGGAATTTGAACTCAAGACCTCTGGAAGAGCCATCAGTGCTCTCAACCTCTGAGCTATCTCTCCAGCACCAAAATAGCATATTTTTTAAACAAAGGAAGCTTCCTATATCTTTCTGGAGTGCCTAATACTTCTGGCTAATCCTCATAGAGATAAAATCCAGCATCTTACAGTTTTCATCTGTTGTTCTGTGTGTTTCTCTGCAGCCCACATGGAAGCTGATTCTTTTCTTTGGTTGTCATACTCCTTCCTATCCTCCAGGTTTCCCAGTGTGCTCCTGGGCCTACATTCTCAGTTCTTTGTAGGTGATGTGGTTTTAACAAAAATGTCCCCATGCAGGTTCATGGAGTTGAACATATGATAGCATTGTTAAGTCATAAATGTTCGGAGAGCTTAACTGGTTGTTCTAGTAGGCGCTTGGGAGATAAAGAGAGATATTGCAGAACTTTATTATTTATTTATTTATTTATTTATTTATTTATGGTTTTTTTTTTTTTGGTTTTGTTTTTTTTTTTTTTTTTGGTTTTTTTTTTTGAGACAGGGTTTCTCTGTGTAGCTTTGGAGCCTATCCTGGCACTCGAGCTGGAGACCAGGCTGGCCTTGGATATTGCAGAACTTTAATCCGGCATTTGGGGAAGCAGAGGCAGGTGGGTCTCTATGGAGTTCGAGGCCAGTCTGGTCTACTGAGCTCCAGGTCAGCCGAGGCTACATAGTGAGACCCTGACCCAAAGACTGGAATCAAATATAAGAATGCCAATATAAATGCAGACAGTAGAGGCCTAGCTCTTCATGAACAAGGACTCTAGGTAGCTGCTGGGCTAGAGACTGTTCCCGTGATATTTTGGAAAAGAATCTGACTACATTCCACCTGATTTTGAGAATTTGCATGAAACTGAATTTAAAAGTAATGGGCTAATTTTGGTAGTCAAAATTTCAAGGCATCGTAGTAGCAAATTCTGTGACATAGTTATTACTGATTATTCTTCTGAAAATCTGCAATGAAAGAGCAACAAGTGGGGACGGGGGGCAGCCAGACAACTTAGTTTGGAATGGAAGGGAGCACTAAAAAGCTTAAGATCTCAGCCAGGTCTTGTGTTGGAAAAGGCTGTAACTGTTAAAAGAGTTGGCATCATGAAAGAGAAGCTTCTGACTCTGTAATGTAACAGGAAAGATGCCCTGTTAATGCTCTGAAGAGCTGCTACAGCTGTGGCTAGAAGGGGTCAGGGTCTACCCCAAGTTCTCAGCCGAATTTGGCAGGGTATGGGTTTTGGAGATAAGAAGCAAGATTGAGAGGGTCATGGAGTCTTCCTCTGCATTTGCAGCTGCTGAGACTAGGCATTGTGTATACAAGGTCAGAAGTTAGGGTTCCTCCAGGTTATATACTCACATATGAAGACTGGAGCTAGGAACCTCAGATGAGAGAGAGCACAGCATTTGTCTTTCTGGGCCTGAGTTCCCTCACTTGATACAGTATTCCCTAGTTCCATCCATTTACCTGCAAGCTTCTTGATTTCATCTTTCTTTACAGCTGAATAGTATTCCATAGTGTGTATGCATCACATTTTCATTATCCATTTGTCAGTTGAAGGACATTTAGGTTGTTTCCATTTCCAAGCTATTCTGAATAGAACAGCAATGAACACAGCTAAGCAAGCCTGTAATAGGATGCTGAGTTCTTTGGGCACATGCCAAGAAAAGGTATAGCTGGGTCATAAGGGAGATTTTTTTTTTTTTTTTTTTTTTTTTTTTGGCTTTTTGGCTTTTTGAGAATTCTCCATGCTGATTGCCAGGGCGGCTGCACCAGTTTGCAATGTGGTGGAGGGAGATTTTTCCAACAAGTTCCCTAAGTAAAGCTGATAGGCAGCCTTTGGTTTTTCAGTTTGTAATATTCTATTCTAAATATTTTCCATATCTTCAGCTTTGGTTTCGATTGCTGAAGAACACTGAGGAGTTGTGTATATGTTTTCCTACATTGAAAATTAGTTATCTCCTTTTCCTCAGCTTAGTGTCAGTAAATATGAATTGCAATAAGAAACTGATATATAATAAATATAAGAAGTTTTACACCGTGGTATAGCCTCATTCAGGCATGATTTCTTACAGATGTGAATGTTAAAAATAGCAGGTTCATACCATTTCAGCATCAGAAAAAGAAACAGGATTATTTTTACATGATTTTAGTAAAGAGGGGGACGATAACATTCATCGTTTGATTACGAGTCCTGTTGTAGTATCTGGAAGTCTACTAAGTGGATTGTATCATTTCCTTTTCTAGAAACAGTAACTCAAGAGCACATGGACCCTGGGAGCTAAAGGTATGGTATGGCTAGAGAGTCTGACAGAAAGGTTTAGTTAAAATGTGAAGCTGCAGTTCTCTCACTGCAGTGCTCCAGCTGCAAGCTGAACAGATGTGATTGACGGCTGCATTTGCTCCTGAGGGTGAGAAATGACCATGCTCGGAGAAAATGCACCTGTGCTTTGAAAAATACGCCGGTCCCCCCAGAGAAGGGAATTCTGAGATTACCCATTAGGAATTGAAGCCTGCATATCAAGGTCTATATGATCTAGCAAAGATGCAGGTTGACCAAGGCCACAACCACAGTTACATTTGTAAAATAAACTGCCTACCCTGCCATACTGCTGCAGATGTGGGTGAAGAAAGACTTCAGGGGGTTATTTTAAGAAAATGATTGTATTTAAGATATGAAACTCTGTTACAAGGTAAGTACTATTTCACAAAAACTGGGAAAATATTGAGCACAGTCAGATGATGGAAGTGCCTATTACAAGATGCTCTTTAGAGTCCGTGTTTTGTGAATTCTCCACCATTTGTAAGCAGTGTATGACTAATTGATTTTCTCATGTGGATAGTAATGTTATATTCCAACCTGTAGTGCACAGGGCATAGCATCCAGCAGCTGGGTCAGATTGTTAGGGGTATTCATTCTATTGTGTTTATTTGTTTTTTCATGCTGTAAAAAGAATTAAAATTGTCTACTTCAGTGTCATTTATTAACTTATTCAATTATGTGATATATCAAAATATGTCCTTTATTTTTTTAACCTTTTTTTTTTTTTTAATTCTGTGTGTTCCATGGTGGCCCTAGGAAATAGTGTTTACATTCTTACTGTTGATCAGAAAAGACTTCTTTCTTTACCATATTAAACTTGTTACTAAAGACTAAAGGGGCCAATGTGGCATCTGGGGTAAGGTAGAAGAAAAACAGATCACAATTTCTAGCCTCTAGGACTGACTTCGAGAAGAGTCTAAGGTAGTGGGTGAGTACACTAGGCAGGTGACCTATTCAACCAACACGACAAACAGAAGAGGGGTGCTTGGAGAACTGCCTCTGCCCTATGACTACCAAAGCCTACTGAAGGCTCATCCACCATTAGGTGCCATCTCAGCTTACTCCTCCTTTGGAAATCCTTAACGGCGCTTGTCTCAGCACTCTTACCATAATTCTGGGAGTCACAGGCAATAAGGGTTCTATATGAAATGTTTTGATGTAATCAGA